GCGTCTGACTTCGCTGGCAGCAGATTTGTATTCTTTGCCACAACATTTCACACGAGCCAATATATTCTTTGTAAAGTATATCTTTCATTCGAGACCAAATAGGAAAATCAAGAGGATTGAAGTCCGGACTTCTGGATGGCCAAGCAAAATTGCTTACATGGTCAATCCAGCTATTTGGAAAAACTGCATCTAAATATGCACGCACTGGCCAAGAAAAATGCGGTGGAGTTCCGTCGTGCATGAACCACATGTCTCTTCTTAAATAAAGTGGAACTTCTTCAAGCTGTGGAAGCATTTTTACTTGGTCACCCAGAAGTCCGGACTTCAATCCTCTTCATTTTTCTATTTGGAAGAATCTACTGGTTCGTGTGAAGAGTTGTGGCAAAAAATACAAATCGCTGCCAATGAAGTCAAACGCATTCCCTATATGTTGTTTCAAACTCGAAGATTTATCAGAAAACGTTGTGTAAAGTGTGTAAATGTCAACGGTGGATTCTTCGAACACTGACTCTAAATCATTATTACGAATTTCATTTGTTTTATTGTTAATTGTTGTAATAACACGAAGAAACACTCGTATTATCAAAACATAGTGTTCAATAAATCGATTTTTCTCGAAAACGGATCGAGATACCGAAATGAAACAGGAATATACAATTAATGGAAAAATATTGCTATTTTAGGTTTTGAATCAAGTTTCATGTTAGACATACAGGGTAAAAGTTATTAACTGAATTTTCGGTTAAATTGGTCGTAAGTGACGGCCTCTATGAGCAATGCTGAAATTACAACACGCATCTTATTCGTCGTCTAAAAAAATATAGTTTTACAAATTTTCAAGTTCCTAACCTAAATGTTTTCAGAATAATCGCAAAAAAACGATTTAAAATTTTAACTTTCAACACCCTGTAATTCCGAAGCTATCAACTTTCGGATAAGGCATGTTTTCGCCAGATGTATTTATTTATTATTTTTTTTTAGATTTCGATTTTCCCATTGCTAATTAATCATCCTGTATATATTTCTGTCTGTTACTGATTTTATCAGCGCTGGGCTGGAATGTAAGATACTTTCAATGATTATATTTAAAACTGATATAAATAATGCATTTTTATAAAGCTATACTGCTAATTTCGAATCATTCCAAGCTTCCCCAAAAATCAGAGTCATAGTGGTTTTGGTCATACTAAGGCTTTCACGGCAGCGCTACTACTTAAAGTATGGTTTTTCGGGTTATGTTGTGGACTATGTACCTCGTAGAGTCATATTTAATACTTTATTGAGTAGTCATAAACATTGAAAGTATCTTGTTTTCCAAGACAACGCATTGCTGGTATTGTTGAATTCCTCTATACATACATATTGCCTTATATCTTTTGAAAGCGAAACAATATCGAAAAACTTTCACATGACATAACAAAATATTTACGAAATTGGGAAAAAATTATTTCGATATCACAGTAAACACAGGGCAGTAAACTCACCAAAGTAGAATTATAAGTCAAATTTTTTAGGGTGTCCCGCATAAAAACCGACAAAGAGCAGGTACTTGTAGGCGTGCCCAAATATTTTGTAATTTTACCAAACTTGCCTATGTATATTATATGGAGGTTTTATTTGTTTTTTTTTTATATTATTTTCAATATTATCTAGATACATCGAGAAGAAGACACGAAATTACGAAATCGGGGTATTTTTTGAGACAACAAATTCAAATTCATTAGTTGTTTTCAACATATTTCCATATCAAAAATGTGGGAAAAAAACAATTGGTTGTTTATCTAGCTAAATGCATAGTATCAAATGACGTCTGATGTTATATACTTACTTTGCTGCAGAGCCGGATTAACATATGGTGAGGCCTGGAGCTACAAGTTCTGCGCGGGCTCTCTTTCTAAAAAAAAAATCCGGATCTTGCCGAGGTCCCGATCTCGTCAGGCTAGGGCATTTCATATTTTTAACATCATATGTCGGAAATAGTATATCTTTATCATTAAAAGTGATTATCTCGAAAAAGGTTCCTCCTAGCGACTTCTTTATACAGGCTGTTTGTAAATAAGTGCGAAATATTTTGGGGGTGGTTGACGAAGTTATTTTGCGAAAAAAAGTTCTTATAAAGGTAGGTCGAAATATGCTTCGTTTCCGAGATACAAAGTGTTTAAATCTTAATTTTTTATTTATTTTTATTAATTATTTCAAACTGTTTTAAAGATATTGACTGGAAATTTGAAAAACGCTTTGGAGGAATAAATGTATATTTTTTGGAGTAATCCGAATATTTCTACTTGCATCAGTGGCGTTCGTGCCAGAATGCCACAAACTTTTTAATAAAAGAAAATGGTACGCCAATGACTTTTTCCTGTTTTGATATTTTTTATAAATCCGCCATCAATTCTGAATGAAATTGGTATCTTCAATTTCTTTCGTAGAATGCACCGTTTTTGAACAAACTAAAACATAATTTATTGGAAGTTGTGAATTTTTAATTTCTATTGATACATTATCTAGTAGGTTGCTGTTGATATTTCTAAATAAAATGCATCCATCAAATTTCGAGTTAATATCTTTAAAACTCTTAAATGATTAACAAAAATTAATAAAAAATTAAAATTTAAACACGCTGTACCTCGGGAACGAAACATATTTCGACCTACGTTTATATGAACTTTTTTCACAAAATAACTTCGGCAACCACCCCTTAAAATATTTCGCACTTATTTACAAACACCATGTATAAAATATGTATCGATTGTGTCAATAAAGTCGTTCCGTTTAAAATATGCAGGATGAGGAGATGCTCCATTAGTGAAATTATTAATGAATTTGTATTTGTCGCCTCAAACAATCTACCGAATTCTTATTTTTTATAGCTCGGTCAAAATAGACATTTCAAATAACGAAAATTCTGACAGAGCTAAATTTTGGTGAAGACCTTAGGTACACCATTAGAAATAAAGTATCAAAAGTCCCCATTGATCCCATGTGTGCTAAAAAAGTTATCGGGGTCAAAGATCAAAATTTGAGTTTTTTTGGATTTTTTTCGAAAACGGTATGTTTTATCAAAAAAGTAGCCCTGACAAAAATTATAGATCTCAAAATTATCTACAAAGATGATCCTTATACTTTTTTTTTAAGAATCACCATTCCTGAGATATTGCGATTCTAATAGTTGAAGGAGTCACGTTCTACATGATATGCACACATTTCCACACCACCTGTGAGGTAGTGTACTTCGACGCGTTTTTTTTTAACGTGGTTTCCCCCGTAGGCCTACTCCACGAACTGTTATGACGGAATTTTCAGAGACAATACTCTTCTAACTGTATGATGATTTTATTGATATTGATATTGGTTATTGACTTTAACTGTAATTCTGATTTCTTTTGATATTTTAATCTGATTCATACTCTTCAAAGTCGACTTCAACAGTCATGTCTTCTTCGATTTCTTCTTCTTCCTCCTCCTCTTCTTCTTGTTGGATGTTCATAAATTGTTCAAATGAAGATGAATCAGCTGTCTCTTCATCGAAATCACATGAATCTTCGTCTGTTCTATCCAATTGAACATTTGAGCAAGACTGGCTTTGGCAATTAGTACACTCTGGAGAACACAGTAACCCTACTCTTCTACAGCCACATTTAGCACTACAACCTTTTTTTGCAATTGCAAAAAATAGTGTTTAGGAGTTTTTCCCGAGCAGGTGGAAGTAAAGTTTGAATCGGTTCCAAAGTATTATCTGTTAATTTCCAACCCCAGTCTTCTGGGTTCAGTTGATTGCCTAGCCATGTCAGAACTTGATAGTATACTCGATACAAGTATTGATTAGCAGAAGCCGATGTTTTAGGAAGACAAGATAGTTGTACTTGTTTCTTGTTTCGTGTATTTTTTACAGAAGTTAAATATTTATATTTATCTATACAATCAATTTTTTTTGGAGTTCCTTAACAGCAAGGAGGAAGCGAATTCCTTTTGTGATTATTGTTTGAGGTGAAGAATCAATTTCTGCAATCAATCAAATATTTTTTCCAAATAATTTTAATACTGATGTTTTACCTCTTCTGCTGAACATTGTTGATGAAGTATCGCAGCCGGTTATGGCATATAAAAATATGATATGGTTTTAACATTTTGGATAAGTAGATAAACTCTTTGAAGAATATATTTCTGTTCGCTGTTGAGCCTTTCCAGGTTTTAAAAAATACCTATATAATTTTATCAATTGGAGTCCTTGCAGTGAGTAGTATTAATAAGTCAACATCTTCGCCAACTACAATAGTTGTATTTGTTGCATTAAATTGTTATATTGTTGTTTCAATTATAAGGACATCTGCGTCATTTTGACTAAGGAACTGAGTTTCTTTTGAGTGTATATTCTCAGAATAGTATAGTTTATACATATAAGAGACACAAATAGGCATTTTTACTTGCATTAAATGTTTGACTTTGTATATACGTTGCATATATGTGCATATCATGTAGAAGGTGACGCTTTCAACTTTTAGAATCGCGATATCTCAGGAATGATGGTTCTTAGAAAAAAAGTATAAGGACCATTTTTTGTAGATAATTTTCAGGTCTATAATTTTTGTCAGAGCTAATTTTTTGATAAAACTTACCGTTTTCGAAAAAATCCAAAAAACCTCAAAATTTGACCTTTGACCTAGAATATTTTTTTTAGCACGCATGGGATCGGTGGGGACTTTTGACACTTTATTTCTAATGGTCTACCTAAGGACTCCATCAAAATTTAGCTGTCGGAATTTTTGTTATTTGACCACTATTTTTATGACTAATTTGACCGGACTATTAATGTTATCTGGGTTTATTTAGATATTATTTAAAAGAAATAACGCCTTTTGCAAGCAAGTAAGTTTGGTTAAATTGCAATATTTTTCCTATACTGGAGATAATATGTTTTTTCCATCTTAACGCCCTGTAGACCTAGCATTTTACACCGTATCACTCTCGATTAAAACTAGAAAAACTCTTTTTTTTTTTAGATGGATCCGACGAGAACATCCTCTACGCCGGAGTCCGTGAAAGACTCCGTGATCCTGAACGAGAAGTTCGCCAGCACGCCCTGAGAGTTCTCATCGACCTCATCCCCGTCACCCAAACCCTATCCCTCGACGACCACATGCGTGCCTTGCTGCCCGAGCTGCTCTCCAATCTGGGTCACCCCGCTCCCGCCCTACGGAAAGGCGCCCTAGATACCCTACGGATCTATCTAAGTCACAGCAGGAACCGTGACCAACTCTTGCGAGACCTGATTTCGTCCACTCTAGTAGAGGACAACCTCCTAGCTGCCGCTCCGTTTCTAGTGGACGCCAACACGAGCAACGAGACGCTCGGTCACGTGCTAGAGCGGCTGGGCAGTGAAATCAAGGAGCAGGGTTATCGGCAGGAAGTGGCGGCGAAGTCGTTGGCCAGGTTGAGATATTCCCTGGGAGATGAACGGTTTAAAATGCTCTTTGGAGTTGAGAGGTTCGCAGAGCTGCAGAAGATTTGCGACTTGTACGGGTTTCCAATTGATTATAGTGACGGGGATGCTAGTGATGGGGAGAATGTGATGTGGGCCGAGGAGGAGGATAAAGTGATTCTTGAAACTGAGATTACTCTGAGGACCGGACCTGCAATCACCATGAAGATACATGAAGAGAGTCGGTCTGGTAGTAGGGAGGAATATGCGGAAAGTGAAGATGAGGCCAGGTATTATTTTTAATATATACAGTTTGCTTTCTTTATTATATCTATTAAGAAAATTAAACGGCCTGCGTAAATCTTAGTCTGTTTTAAATTTACAATCAGTAGATTAAACTGGACAATAAATAATAAAAAAAAATAAAATAAATAATACAAACGAAATCCATACCAGCATAAAACATTATTGAATCTTTCGTTAACCTTTTTTTTACAATATACAGGGTCGTCCGAATTTTATGCAGGAAACTTCGAGGGCAAATAGATCTCTTTAAAATAATATGTGTTTGCCTTATAAACATTGGTCTGGAACAGATACAGTGTGTTGAAGTTGTTAAAAAATTGATTTTTTGTTTATATCTCCGGAATCTCCTAACCGATCTCATTAAAATTTCGTACAGATAATCTATGATAGTAGGCCCTGCATTCACTAAAATATGAGCTCTAAAGGTATAACCAGTGGTGTACAACTGGGCGGGGGTCATCTCCTTTTTTATAAAAAACCTACGCCACTGCATTTTTTACAAGTTATTGTAACGGATTTATATTCTAATGCACAAAATAAGAAAAAATGCAACTTGATTTTTCCCTAAGATTCGCCCTTTTCAAGTTATTCATATCAATACAATCCCCTTGTGCAGACATTTCTAACCATAATATTACAATTATATTTATGTTTAAGATTAAAAGTAAGTGGAATTTGTAAACACATCAACAAAATTCTTTACATTCGTTTCCACACCACCTGTGAGGTAGAGTTCCTTACGCGTTTTAGTTTCCCCTGGAAGCCTAACCCACTATCTTTACAAATAAGAACAACTTAAATCAAAATAATAATAAATGTACATTTATAAAAGGCGAGGGGTAGTGAATTTTCACAATCTGCATATTTGGTTACAAGAAAATCCTCATGAAATTCGGACAAGATCTTTTCAACACGAATTTTTTGTGAACGTGTGGCTCGGAATAATTCACAATAAAATTTGTGGACCTTTCTTCTCGCCACCCCGTCTAAATTCCCAGTCATTTCTAAACTTTCTAGAAAAGCATCTATTTGAATTATTGGAGAATGTTCCATTAAATATACGACAAAATAACTGGATACAATGGATGGTGCTTCTGCGCATTCTGGGAGAAAAGTATAAGAATGGCTTAATGAAAATTATATGGGGCGATGTATAGGTAGAAGACCAAATGCCAATAATGATGCAGAGGATCCAGTATCTTGGCCAGCCAGATTGATATATCTAAACCACCTGGACTTTTATGTTTGGGGTTATCTAAAAAGTAAAGTTTATTCTACTCCAACAGATACAAGACCACAACTACTGCAACGAATAGAAGACGGGTGTAATGAATTAAATGAAAACCACCACTTGATATTAGCTTCAATTAATTCCATTAATAGAAGATGTCAGAAATGTATGTGGGTGGTTCGTATTTTGAACAATTGTTGTAATACGTAACGTTAATTTAGTTTCTTGTTTAGTTGCTGTTGCTTGGTAAACATATTTTTATTATTATTTTGATTTAAACTGTTCTTATTTGTAAAGGTCTCCAGGGAAAACTAAAAACGCCAGGAACACTACTTCACATGTGGTGTAGAAAGGAGTATAAATAATTTTTTTGATGTGCTTACAAATTTCACTTTTAAGCATAAACATAAATATTCTTGTAATTGTGGTTAGAAGTGTCTGCCACAAGGATATTGTATTGGTATGAATAACTTAAGAACGACGAATCTTAAGGAAAAAATTCAAGTTACCTTTTTTACGTATTTTGTGCATTAGAACATAAATCAGTTACAATGATTTGTAAAAAATACAGTGGTGTAGTTTTTTGTAAAAAATGGGTGACCCCTGTACACCACTGGTTGAACCGTTAATGCTCGTATTTTAAGGAATATAAGGCCTACTATTATACATTATCTGTACCAAATTTTATTGAGATCGGTTAAGAGATTCCGGAGATATAAATAAAAAAAATTTAACAACTTCAACACTCTGTATCTCTAAAACGGTGCTGTTCCAGACCAATGTTTATAGAGCAAAAACATATATTTTAAAGAGATCTATCTGCCCTCGAAGTTTCTTGCATAAAATTCAGACCACCCTGTATACAGACGGATTCTTCTGTAACTCTGTAACTGTAACTTTAGCTTTACAGGGTGTTCCATTTCGCGTGGAAGCTACATAACTTTGTTATTACTTTGTTATTTTAAATGGAATATCCTGTATATTATTGCGTTTTTGAATTCCTTGGTTAATATTAGGTAGAGTTTATTTTATTTATTGTACATGGTGTTTAAAACTTATCGTTTTCGATATAATCAGGATATCAACTCTTTAAATGAGGCTAGATAGCGTCTAAACCGTAAGACTTAGAAACCTGCAGTTTGCCCAGTTCGTTTTGGCATAAACTACTCTATCTTGTCATCTGTGAGCAAAACGTGTACGTCATTCAGACTCGGAAATACTGAGACCTACATTTAATAATCTTACGAGTTTAAAAACTTTTTTTTTCAAATGTAATGACCCATATTAATTGTCATGGTGAATGCAAAATTGAATGCCCTTTTGACTGATATACTTGTCCATACTTACCTCTAACAGTTTTCCAGAAAAATCAGGTTCTTTTCTAAAGTCCGAAAAAGTAACTATGTAACAGCGTCAAGAAGGACTTGCAAAACCACTACTACAATATTTACTGACAGGTTTAAAAAGTGGTTTGACGAACAAAAGTAGACCACTAACAACAACTAAAACAAAAGGCAAAACGAAACAAACTGAAACTCGGAACACAACAAGGAGAAGAATAATTAAACCGCTGATCATCAAGTTATGTAGTTATGTAGCGCCCACGCGAAATGGAACACCCTGTAAAGCTAAAAATATTTTCTTTACGTGGTCCACATGATTCCAGGCAACTTTTATTAAAATCATTTTTTTTATAAATTTTGCAGTTGCAGAGTTACATAAGAATCCCTCTTAGGTGGAACACTCTGTAGGTATATTTCCTAAATTCTCTTTAAATTACAGGACTAAATATAATGCCATATAAATCGCAAATTCTGTAACTAGTTGATTTTGGTTTTTACGTCTGCGCTATTTCAAAAACGATTTTATATACACTATATGGTCATATACAATTTTTTTAAACAGAACGTGATTATTTTTTACTATTCGCTTTACAAATTAAAAAATTTAATTATGTAATTTCCGTTCTTGTATTTGTAAAAACGTGTACCTACTATGTACAGGGTAATTAATTCATACCGGTTGGTAGACCATCGTAGGACAATGGAAAGAGCAGATAGGAAACCGTAAACGAGGAAATTTATACGTTATTGTTTCAGTATTTAAAATAAAATACCGCCTTGTCTCTAAGGGCTGTAACGTCATAGATATTAATTTTCCTATTTTAATAATAATCCAATAAAGATGCCATTTTATAAAAAAAAATCCAAACAGGCAAATTTTTTCAGGGTTGCTTGGGGACTGCTTTCTGAGTATCCTACCAAAAGATCACACTCGAATTCCTAGTACGACTTGCGCTATGGGGGTGGTTTCCTAAATATTTTTTTAAAGCAATATGACCTTAATAAAAGTTGTGGATCAAATTTTGAACAACTTTTCCTTATAAAATTTTTGTGTGTGTCTAATCCTTAACGAGTTACTGCGCGTGGTCTTGTAAACATGTTTTTACAAAAAATTACGTTAATAAAAGTTGTAGACGATCAAATTTCTTATAATTTTTTTTTGTATCTCTAATACTTAACGAGTTACTGCGCATTATAGGACTATAAATTCCTTTTCCACAGGACTGGTCTTGTAAACATTTTTTTTTAATAACTTTAATAAAAGTTGGAGAGGAGTAAATGCTCCACAATTTTACTTTATACATTTTTTTATTATCTCGACTACGTAACAAGTTACAGCGCATTTATTTAGGCCTAATTCACGATCTGCATGAAAATCATCAACTCAGTTTAATCATCCTCTTTTCGTGGAAGTGTCAGGTGAATTCATCTCTTCCTCAACGTCGTCCGGATCGCTGTTTGAACTATCATCCTACCTGCGTGCGCAATGTACTGTTTTCAGGGTCATCACCAATATCATCATCATCATCACCACCACTGCAGCTTGTGCAATTTTTTTCATATAATGCGCAGTCACTCGTTAAGTTTTACAGATATAAAAAAATATATAAAAGAGTTATTCAAAATTTGATCATCTGCAACTTTTATTAAGGTCATTTTGCTCAAAAAAAAAATTAAGGAAGCCATCCCCATAGCGCAAGTCGTTCCAGGAGTTCGAGTGTGACCTGTTGGTTGGATACTCAGGAGGCAGTCACATAGCAACCCTGAGAAAATCGTCCTATTTGGAATTTTTTTGCGGCTCCTATAAGCCGAGCACAACTTTATTAGATTATAAATATTTGTTTATGTTATCGAAAGTCCTCATTTGTTATCAACTACTTTTACTAAAATAAGATTTTATATACAGGGTGATTCAGAACTTATAAAAAAAATCTGGATGTACAGGGGACCCTTACAAATACAATTTCGTAAAGAAAAAATCAAAAGGGGCAATTCGAAAATGATTTAAAAATACAGTTCTGCACGGCACTGGAAACTGGTCCACTGTAAAACCTAACCTCGCACAATGCGACCGGCATGGCGGTGTGATAAAAACGGACAAAAACTTTCGCAAGGAAAGAAATAAATACAATTTTATATCACCTATTTTATATCGGGAAATTCAACAGCGTTTGCCTTTATTAATTAATAAAATTAATTTGTGTTTTTAAATAATAAAATCAATTTACATACCCGATGTTACAACAGCAATCGTTCAAAATTTTATCCACCAACGTGTATACACATTTGGGTCTGTCTTACTCAGTTTCTACGAACTAACACAAATGTTGTCTTGTTTCACCACAACACAAATGCTTCACCATAATACAAATGTTGTCTCGTTTCACCATAAATTAAAACGATATCCATCAACTCCGAGTTGCTATACACTCAAACCATTTTTGACACCAACTACTAAAAAATTATTGTAAACACCACAGATAAAAGGTAAACACTATGGCAACGACAATTGCAAAATCGGATTTCAGTATTTGCTGTCGCTGAGGCCACGTAGCTCTCCACGCCTATTGCAAATGACGCTAGAGACTTCAGTTGTCCAGCTATGTAGTGGTTGAATGTAATATAACTTCAACAATTTTTTTCTCGGAAACTATAAGAATTTTACAAACAAATTTTTTACGATATTGATTCCATATCTCAAGTCGCATCTATTCTCAAATTTTTTTGGATAAGTTGTGAATCACCCTGTATATCTTCCTTTTCTAAAGATATATGACGACACGTGTAGAGAAATTATACACTAGCAGATTAAATTTATACAGGTTTTGTCACCGTTGCCATGGTAAACCAAACTTTAAAGCTCATTACTGATATGTTTTATTTGTTTTTGCAAATTTACTATATTTATTCAAAACATTAACACTCAATGAAAAATTATATATTACTCTGTTTTTGAGGCAGTTCAGAAATGTTCGAAATTAATAGGACCGTAGGGTCAAGTGATTTATGTCAATAATGAATACAAATATTGAAAGTCTTATTTTCCACAGCAACGCTGATAAAGTCAGTAACAAATTTGATTGAACTAATATTTTTCTATGTACATATCATTTTATGTATTATGCAAGAGAAATCGAAAAACTTTTTCAATAAATAATATTGTTGAGAAAAAAGATTTTTATACAGGGTGTCTCACATTTAAATAGCAGGACTTCAGGAATCAGTAGAAGACCTCATTTTGAGTCTAAAAGTTCCTATATATATGGGTCCTAAAACGCTTAGTTTCTGAGATACAGGGCGTTCAATTTTATTTTTGTTTTATTTATTTATTTTTTAACTAAATAACAGCTGACAAAAAAAATCATCATGTTGCGGCGAAAGACTTAGTATTTGAGGGAAAATAATTTGACACAGAAAATTATCGCATATTAGTTCCAGTGGTGCAGATAAAGGGGTCTCTATGCATATTTTTATAAAAAAAAGTATAGCCGATTTGATATTTTGCAAATGTTTTCGAAAAATATGAAAGAGCATTCAATTTTACCCAGAAAAGGCCCTCTTGTCCAAAGTCGATAGGAGGTGGCGTTTTCAAGAAAAACCGAAAATACTGTTTAGAAGTCAAATAATAATTTTTAAACATTGTGTTACAACTAAATTAAATATGTAGTTCAAAAATTCGGTTAAAATTGTTTTTAATTAATTAAATGAAAATAAATACAAAAATAAATAACGAAAACCATATTACATCAAAGCAAATGTTCGAAATGTAAACCATTTTCTTCGATACATAACTGACACCGACGCTGAATAGAACGTCTCATTTGAATTAAGTTATTGTCTCTGATTTCACTGCATGCGTTCCGAATCCGACGAATAAGTTCATCCCTTGTGTCCACAGTAGTGGTATAAACTCTCTCTTTAATAAAACCCCAGAGGAAAAAATCTAGGGGTGTCAGATCAGGGGATCGGGGAGGCCATGCAACGATACCCCCGCGGCCAATCCATTTTTCGGGAAAGTGGGTGTTCAACCAGTTCCTGACATTTCGGCCAAAATGAGCTGGACAGCCATCAAGTTGAAACCATGCTCGCATTCTTAAATTCAGAGGAATTTCCTCCCACATGTTGGCACTCTCGGTCTCTAAGAACTCTAAGAAATTCGCAGAATTCAGTCGTTGAGGTAAGATGTAAGGGCCGAAAAGACAATTGTTATAAACGCCGAGCCAAATATTAACACTAAATTCGTGCTGAAAATTTCGTGGTCTGATTGCATGCGGGTTTTCATGTGCCCACTCATGCTGATTGTGTAAATTTGTCACACCTCGACGAGTAAAACATGACTCGTCGGTCCATAATATGTGTGATAAAAAATTTCCGTCGTTTTCAATTGAGTTAAGAATCCACCGAGAAAAAGCTATTCTATGTTCCTCGTCACCCGGACGTAAACCCTGAACAGGTTGTAAGTGGTAGGGATGTCTATGATCTCGTCTTAATGTTCTAGAAATAGTGCACCTGGAAACACCAATAATCCTGGAAATTTTTCTGGTACTCGTCGTGGGATCTCTGTCAAATTCGTGCAAGATTCGCTGATTCCTCCTATTTCTGCCAATATTAACGTTAATTATGTTGCGATCCCTATGGACCAGATTCAATCCGTCATTAGCGAAACGTTGATGAATATTAATAAAAACGTGTGGATGCGGCTGTCTTCTATTAGGAAATCGTCTCCGATATTCCCTAGCAGCTTCTGCCGAGTTCCCATTGGCAAACCCGTATACGAAGTGAATATCTGCGTATTCTTGGTTCGTAAACTTAAACGGCATTTTGAATTTGTTGCAATTTTTTTTAATACTCTACACACAATTAGAAACTATAATAAAATAAGCGCAAATGTCAATATTAGAATGACATTTCAAGTCTGATTTGATTTCTAAACAGTATTTTCGGTTTTTCTTAATTCGACTTCTAAACAGTATTTTCGGTTTTTCTTGAAAACGCCACCTCCTATCGACTTTGGACAAGAGGGCCTTTTCTGGGTAAAATTGAATGCTCTTTCATATTTTTCGAAAACATTTGGAAAATATCAAATCGGCTATACTTTTTTTTATAAAAATATGCATAGAGACCCCTCTATCTCCACCACTGGAACTAATATGCGATGATTTTCTGTGTCAAATTATTTGCCCTTAAATACTAAGTCTTTCGCCGCAACATGATGATTTTTTTTGTCAGCGGTTATTTAGTTAAAAAATAAATAAATAAAACAAAAATAAAATTGAACGCCCTGTATCTCAGAAACAAAGCGTTTTAGGACCCATATATATAGGAACTTTTAGACTCAAAATGAGGTCTTCTACTGATTCCTGAAGTCCTGCTATTTAAATGTGAGACACCCTGTATAATCTATCGAGCGACAAACTTATAAAAATGGAATTTTAACTAAAATGCTTACATCATCTGCCATAAAAGATCCTCGCTTGCGGTGTTCTGTTTGTTCTATCTGTTTTCCTGTATTTATAATTTTATTCATCATTAAAATTTAGAGGGTCACTATATTAATGTTTAAATAAAAAAAGATAAATAAAATCGATTATGAAAAATTTAGGTTATGTGGTTATTCATAAATGTGGGCAAGCTGTTATGTCAACGTTGGAAAAGTTATCATACTTGTTTTTCTGGAAAGAAATAAACTGATATATTTACTTTGTGCAAATTTTAATATTTTTTAAGTGATAATTCAACTACTACAGGTATTTGCTTGACGAATATTGTTCCAAATGTGTGACACTTACGATAAAATTGCACTGATATTTATGTAAACTTCAAATTATTCAATTATCTGATAGTCTGAAGATTAAAAGTTCGTAAGGAGGGTAAAGGAGGGCAGTAATTTGTTTCTTGACACGAAACTGATGAACTGACAAAGCTGAGCGGGCGTATTGTGATGGTGCAAAAATCATGAGTTGTATCGTCACAACTCTGATCGCATTTTACGGCTTTTTTCACTTAAACACATAGTCAAATAACAATATGACGAAAACTAACTCAGATGTCAACAATCCAAGAACATCTGGTTACAGAGGATGTTATGCGCAACGCAATACTGCCAACTGTATATCACTAAATATCTCAATTAGCGCGTAATTTAAGAACCTATTTTCCAAATAGACTTCGTATGATGAGATATATCTTAAGATACTCGTATATGATTCACAAAGATACTTTCGATAACGTTACAGTCCTTAGGGCGGTAAATTAACCAATATGGCATTTTAAGTCAAACACATATCATTCTGTCATAAAAATTCTCGCTTGCTATTCCTTATTTGTTCTTTTTGTTTTTCAGTAATAACGACGAACCATTAGTTTTGGATCACCCTAGTGTTCTTGACACAACCTACAGGGTATTCTTTGATCAAAGATAACACATAAATCATGTAATTAATCAAAATCTCTCGAAAGAAAACATATTTTTTTATTAAATTCCATCGTCTTTTCAGTTCAGTTAAAATGCAAAAAAATAGATACCTTTTTATAAAAAATAAAGTGAATTCAAAAAAATATAACTAACGATTTGGAAAACATTAAACTGAAAATATTATCAATATCAAGTCAAGTAGCTATAAATGTATTTATAGGGATACAACTTCATGTATTAATTTAAACCATCGAACATCCTGTATATGTTTGGTCTTATTACACTACATTTCGTTATAATTTGTAGTGAAATGTATGCCTTTATATCAAATTACATATTCTTATTCCACGACAGCCAAAAAATGGGGGTAATAAAAGTCCTTGAAGACGACAGTGACCCAGACTTCTACGAAGCGGCGCGCCGTACCCCCCGAAAAGTGCGCTTTGGAGGCGAATCCGTGAAGATGCGTACGCCAGAGAGCGACAGTAACCATGAAGATAGTGGATCGACCATACGCATAACCGTCACGGATGCAGTGTCCATTAAAACCCGTAAAAGTTTGATTCCGGTCCGGATAACATCCTTGCCTTCCACTCCTAAGAAGGAGTCTTCATTGGTGAAGCCGCGTCTTCACAAATCAACGCCCGATTTAGGTGGGAGTAGCAGTAAATCGAGAATACCCATGAGGAAGGGGTCTAAGATTAAGAAAGAGCCTCCAGTAGATGTAATATCCCCAGGTAAGAACTTTTTTCTATATAGAATTTTATTTCGCTGCATCATTGTTACTTAACTGCTACTCGTATAATACGCACCTCTATTTTTTGTAATCGTCACACATTATTTAACTTTAAAGTTGTATAATATTAATTTAAATTAATCCTGATTTTTTTTGCATTTATTTTATATTTGAAAAAATGTCTTTTTTCGAAATTAAATCTCTGACACTGTTTATTTCATTTATACATAAAATTTCCACGATATTATGAAATAATAAAATGTTTTTTTATAATCTTCATAAACCAGTATGTACTTGTATTATACAGGGTGTTCTCGTTTATAGGTGTACAGGTGGTTAACGCAATATTTAAAATACACTATTCTTTATTAAATAAACCCGATGGCAGATGTTTGGACACATTAACTGCCTAAAAGTTGCAAATCTTAATCTTGCTTCAATTTTTTTATATGCCAGTTTCTATTAAAATCAACATTTATTTTTTATTAGGAATTTTTTTATGCAAAATTTTACTTTATATAAGTTCGTTTATGTTCAATTTTTAGTCAATTTAATTTAGGTCAATTATATCATTTTTGGTATATTTATTTTTTCTGAATTAATATAAAAAATGCAACTCTCGACTTTTGCACAAAAGTGCACTTTTACTTGCACAATTAATCTATAATAAAGAAAAAAAATCAGCCAACTCGTAAGGTTCTTGCATACCATTGCATCTCACAAAGTGAATTTTGAATAATAGTTGCCAATTATACATAGCACAGATAGGAAGATTTTCACATATTTTGACATGCAGGTTGCCCCACGGTGACGAAACATTAGACATATTTCAGAGACTACTTCAATTTTAATTTCGAAAATTTGGGCAATAGTGTTTTCGAGCATGCCCTTCTCAACTAAAATAATGGCGTCTACCTAACGCTACCGGTTATACCGGAACTTGACGTCTCTTCGTTATTTTAAATTTAACACCCTGAATATTATTGCAATTTTGGATTCTACGTCAATTTTTAGGTGAACTTTCATAAAGGTTTTTTATTCTTAAAGTTAACCGTTTTTGATATTTTAATTTTTTTTCAAAAAAAAAAAGTAAAAAATACACTGTCTAAGATGTGTATTTTACAATAATAAAGTTAGAGCAATAAAATTTGTAGGGGAAATAACTAAAACTCTAAGCTTCCCTGCCATAATTTCAAAATGACTTTATTTCATACAGAGTGGTAGAAATTTAATGCCGAGTTGAGTCAACTTTAAACCATCTTAACTTCCTCCATTTTTAATAATCCTGACCTGTCAGCTGTAACGCTGTCTTTTTTTCGTTGGCAACACTTCATAACACAAATGGCGACAAATTCAAATCTTTCATGAATTTTGGTCACCCCTGTATTTTATTATTTTTGTTATTTGTTATTTTTACTATTTCCAGAGTAAAATTAATATTTAGCTTGTCCTTATTTGAAGAGAGATTCACTTTGTTAAATTCCTATATATAAGCTTCAGCTACTTGAAAAATGTATGTTATATATTCACATGATTTATTTATATTCCTGAAATAATGTCGTTAGATGACGTCATTTTAAAAAGTACACTCCTATATTTATACCCTTTCATGTAATCAATGCTGCATGAACAAGTTGTATAAAATAGAGTTAACGTTTCGATGACCATCGCAATGATTTACTATTTGTTCTGGTAATAATGCAACAGACGTTATTTACGATAATATTTGCAAATTGCAGACCTCATGAATTTATACACACAGTTTGCATAATATCTGGAACTATTAATATTTATTAGTGCGTCATGAAATCATAGCACAATCCTTGAACTTTTCTCTAATTCCATATCTCAAAGCTCTGCATATTGTAGTAATGTTAAACTAACAGGTATAGAACTAGAAATATTCGCAAATAAAACAAATGACTAGGTTATTAAAAACATATTGTAATTATTAATACCGTTGATATTGTTATTAAAGTGTAATATTAAATAGAATAGAATAGAAAAATTTACTGAAATATAGTTATAACTGAGTTTTCTTTGTTTGAAATACTCGTAAGAGTAATATATTTAGAATATTCCCTAACGATTTTTGGTTTTTTGTTTTTCAATAAAGCATGACAACACATAAATTTGTTCGTACTTGCTATATGCAGACATAACTAAAATGATCAATACCTACATTTGACTCTCACACGTGTATGAAGCCTTAGCTGATAATTAAATGTTGTAAATATAGATCTGAAACTTTTCTTATATGTAGTTGCCGTAATAATACCTATTTTATATGTGAGGGGTCATTATATTTTAATCGAGTTTCACGATAAGCTTTTTGTGAATATGTTCTGGTTACTGAAAATCAGAAATTGTAATTTGTATAGGCTTTAAAAATTGTTTCTTTTTATAGATAGTTCATGACTGTATTAATAACATAAAAAAATATTTGTGTACAACTTGGAGTTTCCAAATGACCAACTTCCTTTAGAATCACTTGTATGTTTTATTAAACGTTAACGATTCTCCATTTAGTAGAGTAAACTGATTTTTTAACATTAAACATTAGATTTATGATTTTAAAACCTCTACGAACGGCTTTGCGTTAGAACAATTATTAAATTATTAATATTTTGGGGATTTCTAACTTATCAACAATATCTAGCACAATTTACATTTCGGTTATTTGATTTTTTGTAATAATAACAGAGTACCAAAAAAATGACAACCTTGTTTAATAACTCGAAAATTTGTGGACACTGAAACTTTAGTTAATATGTGAATTCTATAATTTCTTTATCTGATTTTTCATTTTCTTCCCTTTTTAAGCAATCATAAATATTTAAAATGAGACGCTGACATTGAACATGTAAATCTTTATTTTTTAATTCTAAATTTGTTTCATTAACAACCGGTTCTACGAATTCAATATTGTCTGGCAGTATTTCCTTTTGTTCCGTTTCAAAAAGTCTCCAAAATGCCATTTTGTAATATTAGTAAACAAAATATCCCTCTTATCTCTCCCTTTTGCAATTGTAATATGATTAATAGAAGGTGCCTATAATAAATTAAAATTACCTAAATCACCAAATTCCACATTGCTGCACTGCAATACTAGGCAATTTGTCAACAACTGAAATTTATGACCCAGTCGCCCAGTGCGGCTGTGTTTGAGCGCCGTTTGTCCGCGCGCGCATTCTTCAACTGAGCGACCAGACCTGTATATGGGTATGGCTAAATAAATATGGGAACAAGTTTTTCAAATATTTCAATACCGAGTAGCTGTGTAGCAACTGAGCCTGGTACATGTAGTATGTACCAGCTATTTGGTCTTCAGTTGAGATCGGAAAGACTATACTATATTGATTTACCATTTTAGTATGTTTGTTTGCAATTTACACACATCGCAGGTACACTGTGCTTTCACAAAGAGAAAATGGAGTTCAAAATAAGAATCTGGGAAAATAAATTACTTCATTTCATTTAAACATACATGTTTGCTAATAATTTTCAAAATAACAGGTGCACATTTCAATAATGAAAACTGACGATTACGTTGCTTTGAACTAACAATTTTTCTGTTTACTGTAAAAAGTATTAGGCAAAAAAGCGTACTACAAGCCATTTACTGCCACAGTGATTCACCTCTTATTATGTAGAATGTAACTATTGCAGATGTTCTCAATAAGTTTTAACAGTTTTGATTATTAATTTTAAAAACCGGTTTTCAGTTTCGACAATTTTGGTTATGGAAAATATTATTAAGACATTCTACTAACCATTAAAAAGTTTATAAATACCCTGTATTGAGAAGTACGTAATACCTTTTTTTAATAGTGAGTTTTTTAGTGAGGAATATAGGACAGTTTGACCCTTTACCTTTCCTCATTCGTCTCCTTGTGTCGGTGTTTAGCCATAGTAGCAGAAATAGGCCGACATAACATAAGCAAAAACCAATATACAGCCAATATAGACGGTGTTAATTATGTACATAGACAACTTTGAGGGTGATTCTTTGAGTGATTTTAAGCCAAAAAGGTTGGATAAAAGTGGATCCACAAATCAGTATATTTTTCTAGATGCAGGTTGTTGAGATTGAAAAAAAAAATTACACGTTCTAAATTGTCTTTGAAGAATGATTTATCAAATTAAAGGTAAAAATCCACTGATTTTGGATATAAATACTTATACTATTGGCCACTAGATATTTTAAAAATTTGATCACAACTATGACCCAATGAGTCATAGTTCCCTGATCACTTTGTGTTTTAACCCTAACATCAAGAAACTCCTTCAGAAACCCTATAATCTCGTAAAAAACGTAATAGTACAATTGGCTGTACAATTAGTAATAGTGAGTTTTTGCAATTAGAATCGTTAAAATAACAGTTTACGGAGTTAAGGTTACGAGGTTGCGCCGTTATGGGGTTTTAGGGTTGTGAGTACAATGAGTACAATATAGTACAATGAGATCATGCATTTCAATGTTTTCCCAGTCACTCGAAAACTGCTTTCTGGAGGAGTTTGTTGATGTTAAGGTTAAAATTTGAACTTATTCAAGAATTCTGACGGTCAGAATACCATAGGATACAGTGCCTATTTTTTCTGTGGCACAGTACTTTTTTCAGTATAGATGCAAAGAGAGAAAAGTCCAAGGTGAATTTGTAACCCAGCATGTCTCAGATCATGGATCTACGGGCTGTTACAGAATGACGTTTAAAAATTTGGGAGACTATAGAGGATGGATTTCGGAACATTTTGCAATAACAACTAAATTAAACACCAGCATAGTAATAGTTTGGAAAACTTTTATTGACAAAATAGTAGAGTACAATTAAACACTGTAAACCAAGTCTGTGGCTTCACTACTTTAGAGTAAATGTTCAATATGACAACCGCCAGCTTTATTACATAATGTGCGCCGATCCATGTTTTGTCTGATTCTCTGTAAGATTCCACGCTTCCATCTGATGGTATCAAAAGCAGTGAAGATGCGTTCAATAAGCTTAGGTACTGGTGTTGAGTATACAAGGGACTTTAGATAACCCCAGGGGAAAAAGTCAAAAGGGGTAAGGTCAGGGGAGCGCGAAGGCCAAGAAACTGAGCATTCCCTTCTAATTACTTTCGGCTTGAAGATGTCTATGATGTATACTCTGGCCCGACGATCAAAGTGCACTAAAGCATCATCGTACTGAAGTCACAAACTAACGCGTAATTGTAAGGGAATGTCTTTCAGAAGTTCAGGCAAGCCATTTTTCAGAAAGTTCAAATACCACGCACCATTCAAACGATCTGGTAAGGTGTGTGGTCCAATAAGGTGATCTCCAAGAATTCCTGCCCATTTGTTTACTGAGAATCTCACCTGGTAACTTCTCGTACGGAAAGTGCGTGGATCTTCAGCAGTCCATTGGTGGCTTTATAAAAGTTGACATCAGTAGACAGCACGAAGTCTGCAAAATTGGGAACAACGGCACATTGATGAAGGAACCACTTTGAGAGTTGCTGCCATGGTTTAAAGTCGGGTTGTCCCATACTTTAAATTGGTTAATCATGGAATATAGGTAGGTGCTTACTGTGCAAAACCCGCCAGACACGCATGTGGTCTACGTGCATTGCGTAGGCAATTGCACGTGTGCTTGTTGTTGGATTGGCAACAACATGTTCCATAACGTCTTCCTCAAATTCAGACGTTTGTCTCTTTCTTCTTGCACCTGCCTGATGTGTATCAGCTGACACTTTTCCTCTTTCTCTCAGTTAGCGATCGACATTGGTGAAAAATGAGTCGTCTGTGTGGGTATATTTCTGTGTACAACCAACAAGCTGCTCTGGCGTTCCCACGAGCTTCTCCATAACACAAATGCATATCAGCAAATTCTCCAAATGTGTAATTATCCTCCATGAACTCAGAATTTGACTACAGTAAGGCACTATAAGCACACAGCTATACACTGATTAGTTGTGTGTTTACAGCACAACGCCAGTGGACGGAAGGGGTGAACTGAAAGACAACAAGCACTAAGTAAATGACTTCCTCCCTCAGATACACTACTGTAGTTGTGTGTATACAGTCTTTCATCCGCGGCAATAACATAATGTTAATGGATTTCTAGGTTCCTTATTGCAAAATATTCCGAAGTTCATCCTCTACAATCTCCCAAATTTTTAAAATGTCATACTGTAACACCCTAAATAGAATATGCTGAATATGCGGTTAGGGAGTTTTTGGATTATGGGGTTAAGGAAGCCTCAAAGCCATATTATTTCGGACTCTTGCTGTATGAAATCTACGTTTCACAGAGTTTCCTGGTTGTACATCCTCACATACCCAGGATTACGGGGTTACAGGGTTATGGAGTTAAGAGAACTCATCATGAAATTATCTGTCTTGTGATGTAATTCTTAAAATGGTGTGCCATAGTACTGTACTTTTTATTCATCATTAACACTTATTTTGAGATAGGAACATTAACTTTTTCCTTTGTGCTACCAAATTTGATATTCTTTTATCTTCTGTTTGCATGATTTGGGAGACATTGTATTAATTATTTCCGTTCTCGTACCTCAGTACAAACTACCAACTAATATTTGTTGTAAATAAGCTTGCAATGTGTTTTGTATTACATATAATGATACAGTAACAAGAATTTCGTATTCGAAAATAACGAATTCAATGTCATCGACTTCTTGAAACAAATATTATATTATTAATAATTATTATTTCTACAGCAATATCGCCGAAACAAGAGCCAGATCCACCAGAAGCCAAAAAATCTTTAGCGAAACCAACACGAAGGAAAAGCAGATCAGATGACGCACTCAGCCCTATCCCTGTTCACAACGAAATAGAAGTTATTCACAACCTCACAAGAAGCCCTGAACGCAAAAGAACTCGTAGTCCCTCCCCCCAAACTGAGGAGACGAAGGAGGAAATAAAAAATCAGACCGCTTTCAACAGTTTCCAGTTGTGTTCTCCAACTTCTACTGCAACAGAACATAAAATAACTGTTAACCAGCTTGAGGAAAAAAAGGAAAAAAGTGAAAAGCAGGCCGCTTTCAATAGCTTCCAATTGTATCCTCCAACTCCTGTTGCGCCCGAGGCAGAAAGTCCCGAAAAAGTGACGATAGTGACCTCTACTCCCCAAGGAAAAGACAAAGATCAGAAACAAGAACAAAATACTACTGCATACAATAGCTTCCAGGTGTGCCCTGAAAATTGCAGAATAAGCGAAGAAAATTTAAGTGCAATGAACAAGAATAGTGATGAGTTGTTAGAAAGGCCAGTGAGTTTACATCAGCCTTTGCAGATTGCTTCTTTCAGCACTGAGGTAACTTACTTTAACTACGACCTTTATTTTTTAATTTGTGTGTGCAAGCAGATTGTTGTAAAGTATTTGTCACTGTTTTTCTTTATTTCATCTATATAAAATGCCTGGGAATGTTTGACGAAGTAAATTAATATTTTCTTAAAAAAAAAACGTACTTTACTAGTCACACCGCATAGAATCACTTTTAAACTATTTCTGGGTGTCCAAAGAACATCCGACTAATTATTTTTTTGTCAATTTCTAACGACAATTCCGGTAGTAGTAAAGTCGATGACGCTAATCAAACCCGTATTTGCATCACCCTAATGGAAAAGTAGGTCAAATAACCCAATGTGAGCGTAGCCGTAGTGTGAGCCGCCCCTAAATATATGTTTTCTCGTGATCTGAAATGCCCACCAAATATTTGCATGAAATAGGTAGGTACGTTACGTGACAGCCATCGGCGTATCGTCTAGAAATAATCGAAGAAGTCTGGGTATTTCACTGTTTACGGCGAAACAGATTTTACATTATGTCCGTAATTAAATATAATCCTTTGCTTACAAAATATCCATTACAATTTTGATTTTAAATAATTTACCTTTCATCTTACAAAAAATAGCACATCTTATTGAGTATCATTTTTCCAATACCTGAATTGGCTTCTTTTTTGAATAATTATAATTAGTGCGGATGGTATGTATCTGTTTCAAAAGGTCCATATTTGGATGAATCCGTATATTCACGGAGATTTTTGGCTTTTTGGCTTTCAAATATCACTAGAAATGAAAATATTTCTATGCGCATAAAAAAAACGTGGGCTTAACTTTTGACGGCACAATATGTTAAAAAAATCGAAAAATGTCATATTTTTCCTCCTATTTAATTATGTATGTTTTCAAGAGTTGATTTTAGGCGAAAATGGAAGAGAAAAAAAAATGTTTGTAATTCAATTTTTTACAAAATATCACTAGTTACAAATCGAATGAGTCATGATTATTATTGTAAAAATCGAAAAAATCGCCAAAAACATTACTTTTTAGGATTTTTTTGGGGTCTTTAAATTGGGCCTAGGTCCTATACCTTCATACCTTGGCTCAAGAATCAAATTTCATAAAATCGGTTCGATAGATTTTGCATAATAATTTTGCAATCCAGATTTTGAAAAAAAAATTGCAAATTTTCAAAATTTTGCACAGCAAAAACCAAGGCCCTTAGATAATTGAAAATTTAATCACATACAGAAGGGCTCCCAAACTTTCAAATGCTTTTTGAAAAATTCGAATCCGTCAATTAGGAGACCTCTGGCGCTTGTTTGAACATTGGTCGAATTTTTGTACTTATAAACAATTAGAATAACTTTTTAACTCAAATTTTTAAACATAGGTTTTAAAAGTTCTTAAAAAAAACAGATCGATTGGTCAGTTAATTACGTAGTTATAGCCGATCAAAGTTAACCGTCATTTACACTAAATTTAATGTACTGGGACATCCGGGCTAATTTTTCGAAAAATACCTTTGGCATCCCGAGTAGTTACCAGGTCTAAGTTTGCAATACTTTTCTTCATTGGCAACCTACTTTTTAAAACGTGGTATTTATACAGGCTAGAAATTCAAGAAAATCGTACGGTGGTGGTGGGGGAAGCAGAGAGCACGGCCGCCCGCTTCGGCCTGCTCGAAATTGCATCGGTGAGTTCAAAACCGCGACGCGCTAAAAAATTTTTAATAAAAAAAGTTACAGGAAAAATTATATAAATATTTGAAACTTTTAACACCCTGTATATCCGTAGGGAAGCATCCTATCAAAAATTTTTATAGGGCAAAGGTTGATTATTTTCATCGGTAAAATACGCCATTAAAGTTTGGCAAAACTAATCATTAGCACCCTGTATATTTATGGTTCCTCCAACCATTTTTGTTTTTAAAATTGCTTTGGATAGATATACTATGTTTTCTTTATTGCTTAGAATATTTTCTAGTTTTTATCTAACTATACTCAACAAGATCTAAAATAATATTAAATATAAAAGTTTAAGCCTCTTTTTCTCGGTTTGAGTGTTCTTCTTATCAAATTTAGAGATAAACTAAATGATTAAATTAGCTATTGAATCAAAGAAATCAATCGGGGGTTGTTTCAATGAAATTATTTTTGACTACCTAATCAAAGATCCCATACCGAAAAAAACGGTCAATAAAAAATACCTACCTACGTGTCACATCACTTTAACTTGGTTTAGTTTCGGAAATTGATATATTTTCATTCTTAAAACATTGCCCAAAACTGGCATTTCTGTTTAAATGAATGTGACAGTTTATGTTTTCTGTTTGTTTATATATTTATTATTACTGACTTCTTTCAATATTTGTAGGGCAGTTTATTTTATTTTTTCTTATTATTTTTATATTCAAAAGTTTAACCCAAACTATTAAATTATACAATCATTTTCCCAATTTTTATCCCCACGGTTTTATATTTCTATATTCATAATATTCTAACAGTTGCGGATCTATAGATATGTCCAGTGTTAGTCGAGGCAATGAAGCACTAAAAAGGCCAAAAGTTCGGATTTTTTTCCATAAAGACGGATCGGAATGCGGTTTTTTGCATTCTCTTCCAAAAATTTTTTGTAAAAAATGTGGCTACTTTTTGTTTCGGACAAACCTGAAATTGCATTGCTACAGCCAAAAATGCATTTAAAAAATGCATTTTTTGAGACGCCTTTTGGAAGATTTCAAAACTTTGTAAATAAGAGTCAGAACTGGCCCAAATCGGATACTCGGGGGTTTTCAAGGTCGCTGATCACGATTATGATGTTCAAATTGGCCCCCCGAACACCTGGAGCTCAGGAACGCCGATGAACGTCATCTCCGTGGGACTCTCCCACAAATCACGCGGGGAAGGAGAGAAACTCGGCGCCCGGTTTTTTTTTGGGTCGCTGAATTCAAATATGCCATCGTGACACCCCCCGGACACCTGGTGCGCCCGAACCTGGACGTAGACGTCATCTCCGAGAATTTTCCTGACAAGATTGACAGAAACAACTCGAAAATCATTGTGGTGGCGTTTTTTGGGGCGCTTAATCCAAATTTCACGTCGAAAACTACCCCCTGTACACCTGGTGCACCGGAATCTGGACGCGGACCTCATCTCCGTGGGTTTTCCTCGCACAATCGAAAAAGACGAACCGAAAATCGATATGGGGGTGGTTTTGGGGCGCTGAATCCGAATTCCACGTCGACAACGACCCCCCAAATACCTGGTGCACCGGACCCTGGCCCCGAACGTCTTCTCCGTGGGGCTCTCCCAAAATTCAAGTGTGGAAGGAGAGAAACTCAGCGCCCGGGGGTTTCTTGGGTCGCTGAATTCAAATGTGGCATCGGCGAACACCCCCCGGACACTTGGTGCGCCCGAACCTGGACGTGGACGTCATCCCCGAGAATTTTCCTAACAAGATCGCCAAAAATAACTGAAAAATCATCGTAGAGGCGTTTTTTGGGGCGTTTAATCCGAATTCCACGTCGACAACGACCCCTCGAACACCTGGTGCACCGTAACCTGGGCCTGAACGTCGTCTCCGAGGGTTTTCCAGACACGATCGCAAACACTAACCAAAAATCAACAATTCCACACAGCTACAGCAGTATTGATGTCGGTCTCTAAGACATCAGGTTTGGTTGACATTCATGGGAATGACATCGATGTCAAGATAAAAGTTCGGATGCACCAGGTGTTGGGAGGGTACTTTTCGACGTGAAATCCGGAATCAGCGCCCCGAAAAACCCCCCATAACGATTTTGGGTTCGTCTTCGATTGTGTGAGGAAACCCCTCGGAGACGACGTTCAGGCCCAGGTTACGGTGCACTAGGTCTTCAGGGGATAGTTTTCGACATGAAATTTGGATTAAGTGTCCCAAAAAATGCCCCTTCGATGATTTTTGAGTTGTTTTTGGCGATTTTGTTAGGGAAATTTTCCGGAGATGACGTCCACGTCCAAGTTCGGGAGCACTAGGTGTCCGGGGGGTGTTCGACGATTGCATATTTGAATTCAACGACCCTAAAAGCCCCCGGGCGCCGAGTTTCTCTCCTTTCCCGAGGGAATTTTGGGAGAATTCCACGGAGATGACGTTCATCGGCGTTCCTGAGCTCCAGGTGTTCGGGGGGTCAATTTGAACATCATAATCGTGATCAGCAACTTCGAAAACCCCCGAGTACCCGATTTGAGCCAGTTCTGACTTTTATTTACAAAGTTTTGAAATCTTCCAAAAGGCGTCTCAAAAAATGCATTTTTTTAATGCATTTTTGGCTGCACCAATGCAATTTCCGGTTTGTCAGAAACACAAAGTAGCCACATTTTTTACAAAAAATTTTTAGAAGGGAATGCAAAAAACCGCATTCCGATCCGTCTTTATGGAAAAAATTCCGAACTTTTGTGCTTCATTGCCTCGCCTATGTAATGTTTATTGCATTCAAAAGGTTCTAATGTTAAATTAAATAATTAAATAAACATATTCGTTTTAAGTTTTTTTTATAATATATTATGCAATTTCTTTTTATTATCTTATAGAATTTGTTTTATTATAATTCCAATATTCTTAAATCGATTCGATACTATTGTTAAACGTTTAACTTATTGAGAAAATTAATTTGATCTCCATCTAGTTCTGCCTGTTGGTTCCAGTTAACGTGCAGTTTTCATAAGCAAACGTAATCGCCGTGTCCCAGAACAGTATAGTTTTATACAAGGCCAGTCCACTATATCGAATTTTGTGTGCAAAATCCAGTACATATCCGATCTCAGATTACTGATGATTTGATAATTGTTGATAAGGCCACTTATTATATTATATAAATACTTAGCAGGAGTTATTTTAGTTTGGATCATACTTCTATTTTCCTCAAACTGGGATCTAGGTTCGTTGGATATTTAATTGAAAAAATCAATAAACAAATAAATGTCCATTAATTCATTGTTATTG